TTATATTATTATTATTATTATACAGGATTTATATTATTATATTATTATTATACAGGATTTATATTATTATTATACAGGATTTATATTTTTATTATTATTACTATACAGGATTTATATATTATTATTATACAGGATTTATATTATTATTATTATACAGGATTTATATTATTATTATTATACAGGATTTATACTATTATTATTATTATTATACAGGATTTATACTATTATTATATTATTATTATTATTATACAGGATTTATATTATTATACAGGATTTATATATTATTATTATACTATACAGGATTTATATATTATTATTATACAGGATGTATATTATTATTATTATACAGGATTTATATATTATTATTATACAGGATTTATACTATTATTATTATTATACAGGATTTATATTATTATTATTATTATATTATTTATTATTATTATACAGGATTTATATTATTATTATACAGGATTTATATTATTATTACTATACAGGATTTATATATTATTATATATACAGGATTTATATTATTATTATTATACAGGATTTATATTATTATTATTATACAGGATTTATATTATTATATTATTATTATACAGGATTTATATTATTATTATACAGGATTTTATTATTATTATTATTATACAGGATTTATATTATTATATTATTATTATACAGGATTTATATTATTATTATACAGGATTTATATTTTTATTATTATTACTATACAGGATTTATATATTATTATTATACAGGATTTATATTATTATTATTATACAGGATTTATATTATTATTATACAGGATTTATACTATTATTATTATTATTATACAGGATTTATATATTATATTATATTATTATTATTATTATACAGGATTTATATTATTATACAGGATTTTTATTATTATTATTATTACTATACAGGATTATATATATTATTATTATACAGGATTATATTATTATTATTATACAGGATTTATATATTATTATTATACAGGATTTTATACTATTATTATTATTATACAGATTTTATATTATTATTATTATTATATTATATTATTATTATACAGGATTTATATTATTATTATACAGGATTTATATTTATTATATACAGGATTTATTATTATTATTATACAGGATTTATATTATTATTATACAGGATTTATATTATTATTATTATACAGGATTTATACTATTATTATTATTATTAAACAGGATTTATATTATTATTATTATACAGGATTTATGGCGCCAACAGTTTGCTCAGCGCTTTACAATATACCGGGAGACAATACAGCAACAATACAGTTCAATACAAGAGGGCTAGGTGGGCCCTGATCCTGGGAGCTTACAATCTAGGAGATCAATCTTTTTTCTATAAATGTAAAGGATTTGCTTAAAACTGATCTGAATTACGATTGATTCTTCCGAAGCACCCTGGTATTTGATTGCGCAGAAGCAATCCACAGAATTCGGCCACAGCCGATTATCTTGGCAGTGTCAAAATCAATGGTAAAGGTTAGACACACAAATAATGTGTGTTGTGCGGTTATTAAATATATTCAATCAAATAAATTACATTAAAATCTTAATAAAACATTAATAAAAAGTCCCATATCAACTGTGCTTAAAAAAAAAAAAAAAAAGTCCAGTGTAAATAAAACCACTTCTTTAACCACTTCAATACCAGCAACTTTCACCCCCTTCCTGCCCAGGCCAATTTTCAGTTTTAATTTTAAAGTTACCCGTGCTTTGTTTGTGGTGCAAAAAATACAATAAAACAAAATATGTGCAAGATATATATATATTACGTAGCTGCAGCCCTAATGGTATATGTACCACACACTAGATGTTAATAAAGTAAAAGGCTGCACTCACCCTATAAACCTCCTAAATAAATTATAACTTTAGTGCAAATCTCAACAGCAATAAGTTCATTCATCCTGATGTGACGAAACACGTAGGGGCAGAAACTTCTAGTCACGCTACTTCCACCGTTTGGAATGCACACCTGCTCCGGCAGGTCATTCTGGGTGTCGGATAGGGCACCGAAATATGTAAGTGTAGTATTGTTATATTCTTTGAAGTTTTAACCCCTTGGCGCCGGCGCCTCTCGGCCCTTTAAGGGTTTCAGAAGCCAGGAGGCGGGGCGGGTTTTTAGGGTCATGTGACCACCATGATTCGCCGTAACGGCGGTCACATAATCGGGAAAGGTCCCGATCGAAAGAGGAGATCAGGACCTTTCCGTGAGTACCGGACGTGTGCAGGAAGCGTGCAGGACGCGCACTCTCAGCACATATGTTTTTCTTAATTGCACGCAAATGTGCGGCCAGCTCGGCGTCAATGCCCAGGCGCTGGGAGGCCGCACATTTGCGTGTGGCCAGCGCCAAGAGCTTAATTAAACAGTAAAGCCCTATGAAGTTTTTTCTGGCTTCCTCTCTACTTACATGGGATACCTGGCTCCAAAGAGGATATTATACCCAGTGGGACTGTGTGAAAGTGCATATTGGCCTTTCCTTAGTATATACTTGGGGGGTCAACAACCTCTGGTGAGTTCAGTCCCTGCAGGGGACACAGGTGATTGCACAAAATTGCAGGAGTGGAGTTCATTTGCATGGAGCACGGATCACTTTAATTTGAAGATTTGTGGCACGTATGTTTGCACCTTAATGTGGCACTTTCATTGCACTGCCACTTTTTTTGGACACTTTAGAGGACATTTAAATGTTGATTGTTTGCACAATGATGAATTTATTGCTGCTGAGATTTGCTCTATAATTATAATTTATTGTATTTAGAAGGTTCATAGGGTGAGCGCAGCCTGTTTACTTTACTAACATCCAAATTTCAGATTTCAGTTCTTTGAATGACAAATGCGCACTCACGCAACACTGTACCCATATGACAGTTTTCTCTTTTTTTTGCACAAATAGAGCTTTATTTTGGTGTTATTTGATCACCAGTGGGTTTTTGATTTCTTGCTAAACAAACGAAAAAAATAATTTTGAGGAATAAAAAGTTTTCTTCATTTCTGTTCCAAAATTTAGCGAAATAAGTAAATTTTCCTCTTTATTGATGTGCTCTAATGAGACTGCACTGATATGCTGAATCGACAAGGCTGCACTGATGGGCACTGATATGTTGAATCGACAAGGCTGCACTGATGGGCACTGATATGCTGAATCGACGAGGCTGCACTGATGGGAACTGATGAAGAGGCACTGATATGCTACACTGATGGGCACTAATATGCTGAATCCTGTAGGCTGCACTGATAGCCACTGATGAGGCGACACTGATGGAAACTAATGAAGAGGCACTGATATGCTGCACTGATAATCGGTGTCCTGATTATCAGTGTAAACGTCCCCTGTCACATGAAAACCAGTTATCACCTTTCCTATCCTCAGCACTGAGGAAAGGAAATTCTGATAACTGCCTTTTCTTTACATGGGATCAGCTGTGATTGGGCACAGCTGATCACATGGTAAAAAGCCTACATCATTGGCTCTTTGCCCTGATTGGTGTTTTGCTGCATCTAAGGTACACCGCTCACCACCGATCGTTGCGCTGCATGCCAAGATCGGGAAGATGTCATATGACTTCCTCCCAGAACGAGAGAGGTGCCCAGTTAAATCCGCCAACTCCAGTGCTCCAACCACCAACACATGGGTCTGCTTACCAGAGACTCAGACCTCATCAGACAGGAGGTCTTAACCAAACAGGACTCTGATCCCAGGTGGATGAATGACTCTCTGTTTGTTCAGAATGGCAATACCAGCACATAATACAATGTAACCTCGTATATAGAGAAAGCAGAGAAAAGGTGTAGTAATTCCAAAGCAGTTTAATTGAGAAAATAAGGGCTTATACTCACAAGCAAGAGTGAAAATATCAGATAGCAAACAGTTGGCACCTATCCAACCTGACATGATGATGTCCCTGCTAAGCTCTTCCCTACGCATTTCGTCCTACTGGACCTCTTCCAAGAGGTCTTGAAATGGTCACATATGATACAGCGGTGGCCAGCTTTTAGAGAAACAATTTTCCTTAACAGGAACAGGTTTGAAAAGATACAGCCAATCGTCACAAAAATGGTCGTTTTCTAAAATTAAAAATATCCATAATCACTGACATTGATAAAACTGTATATGGATTATTGTCTCTTGACCAAGAGGGGATTTTTTTTCAGAGTTTTGGAAAAACTTTGGAGAGATTTTGCCTCACTTCCTGTCCCCCATGCCAACAGGACAAGAGATGAGGGGGAGTTGTCACTACAATATTAACTTGGCAGACTTTCTAACATTTCCCATTTATACCAAAAAAAATGTTTTAATGCATTATCACTGTTAGGGTTACAGGGTGGGTGGGGGAAGGGGTGGGCACCCTGCGGCCCTCCAGCTATTGCAAAATGACAAGTCCCTTCATGCCTCTGGGAGTCATAACTGTAACTGTCAGTTTTGTAATGCCTCATGGGAAATGAAGTTCTACAACAGCTGGAGGGCCTCAAGTTGCCCACTGCTGGGTCAGGGTCTTGACACTGGACAGACCTCGCCAGCAGTCCTGTTGATAAGAGATCCCTCACCTTTATGGCAGAGTCACTCCTTGGCCAGTGAAAGGAATTCTACAGCATTCGAGGTCAGCGAGGGAGTGACTCCATTCAAGGAAATTATTACAGCACTTGCATGATTCTGTCGCTGGTGACACATTGAAGTTGATTTACTAAAACTGGAGAGTGCAAAATCTGGGGTGGCTCTGCATGGTGGCCAATCGGCTTCTAACTTCAGCTTGTTCAACTAGCTTTGTCAACAAAACCTGGAAGCTGATTGGCTGCCATGCACAGCTGCACCAGATTTTGCACTCTCCAGTTTTACTAAATCAACCCTATTAAGTCTCTCATCCGATGTGGCCCTTGGTGTTGGAGGCCTTTGCAAGAGCTGAAAGCCCCCCCTCCCCCACTCCAAATTATTGCATTCAGTTGCCTTCAGTGAAGGGTGCTGTTGATGGTATAATCCAGTGTTTCTCAACCTTTTTTCAGTCAAGGCACCCTTTAAAATTATGGACAGTCTTAACGCACCCTTTGGAATTATGGACAGCCCCGTGGCACCCTTTGGAATTATGGACAGTCCAGAGGCACCCTTTGGAATTATGGACAGTCTTGAGGCACCCTTTGGAATTATGGACAGTCCCGAGGCACCCTTTGGAATTATGGACAGTCTTGAGACACCCTTTGGAATTATGGACAGTCCCGAGGCACCCTTTGGAATTATGGACAGTCCCGAGGCACCCTTTGGAATTATGGACAGCCCCGAGGCACCCTTTGGGATTATGGACAGCCCCGAGGCACCCTTTGGGATTATGGACAGCCCCGAGGCACCCTTTGGGATTATGGACAGTGTCAGGAATGGACTGGCCAGCAATAGTGGGACTCACCTGCCTTGTGAGCTGCAGTACCAGGGCTGGCCAGCGGGTGCTCCCAGCAATCAGAGACTCAACCTTGCAGCCAGTCAAACACCTGGAACTAATTATACTGCGATATTTAAGGGACATTCAGACCTGCAGACTCTGCCTTGGTGTTGTGTTTTTCCTGGGCCCTGTATCTTGTTCCTGCATCTTGCATCCTGCATCCTGCTCCTGTTCCTGTTCCTGTCTTGTTGCTGACCCGGCTTGATTCTGACCTCTGCTGACTTCTCCTGTTCTGATCCCTGGCTTGTGACCTCCGACCATTCTCTGCCTGACCCCCTGTACCTACCTGCCTGTTATTTGCTGTACCCGGCTCGTGACCTGACTATTCTCCGCTTGCTCCCCCTGTACCTACCTGCCAGATTGATATTGACCCGGCCTGCCTGACGACGCTTGCACTGTATGTACTGTTATCTGTGGGTGGTTTGGTTTGGTTCGTTTGCACTGTGTTATGTTTTAGTATTGCACTGCGTTTGTGTTTGTATTGTTAGTGTTAATAAATTGTTTATAACTTATCTGAAGTCTGCGTTTCCCTGCGTCAGTCACACACCTCTGGTCATACCCGGGAACCCTGACAGACAGTCCTGAGGTACCCCATTCTAAAATGTGAAAAACTATTCTAAATATATATAACGCAGCCACATCCACACACATAGGACACCCAACGTTGGAGGTGATTTATTCTTCCAAAGAAAATACACTTTTGCACACTGGTACTGACTAGTATTCCAGGGTTTCTCTTCTTCTTCTCCCTCAGTTTTTCTCCATTACTGAGTTAATGTGACCCCAGCACTGATGAAAGAGGGGCAGGGGAGGGTCAAACAAGGATGCTGTGCAGGTAGCCGACATCCTCCTTTCAAACCGGTTGTCCGGACGCCAGCAGCTAGAAGGTCGCAATGGTGCACAATGAAATAGCTTTATGTAATTAAAAGGCAAGCTTGTTCAACCCACTGGCAATTTGGGCAATTTTTAGACATTGTGCCAAGGCACCCCTGAAGGAAACCTCAAGGCACCCTGGTGGAGAGAGGCTGCTATAACATACAAAAACATTTTAGACAATTGTGTTTATTTAAGCTTGTGGGAAGTGCAAAACCAGCTCAAGTCATGACTCAATGCAGCCTTTCTCAACCTTTCCATCCCACAGGAAACCCTACTAAAATCTGCATACATATCAATGCCTAAAGACATCTCAAGCTGTAGCCCAGACTGACAGTTTCCTCAGATCTCAACTGCAGTACAAAAAGCTACTTGAGATGTCTTTAGGCATTGATATGTATGCATCCTTGGAGTTGCTTTAACCATCCTTTTACCTTGGAGGACACCTTTCTAAGATTTGTTTCATCACGGGATCCATATCCCTGGCCCCAGCAGTCTTCAAGTGCCTCCCTCTCTTCTCATGTGGTGGCCTGGGTTATTCGTGCCTCCAGGATCCATCTTCGCTGGCTGGTGATATCCACATCTGTTGTTTTTATTACGGCTTCCATTCTTTGTCCATTGCTGTCAATTTAGATGTGAAATCTTTAATACCCCTGAGGAAAAAGCTACAGGAAGTGAAACGCGTCGGGTGAATGGAGGCACATCAATGGTATGATTATGTATATGACAGCTATGCTATATTGTTTTTGTGACATTTTCCTGTAAGCTGGATTTATGTTTTTATTAAACTTTTGTACTTTATTGATAAATTACCTACAAATATTCTTCATCAACTGTTTAAAAAAAAAAAATATATATATTCTTTATATGTTGTGACATGAATGCGTTTAAAGTCCCACTAGGGCCAACCTAGCCACAGGACTACAAGTTCCATCATACATATAACTGTTTTTGTAATTTTCAATGCCTCATTTGCACAACAGCTAGAGAGCCACAGGTTGGAGGGGATACATAGTTTTTTTTTCTGTTTGCACAAGATGGAGATTGTGACATAACCGTCCCTCATCTGCAGCTCATCCAATCAGAGAATGCCTTGTATTCAATGATAAAATACAAGCTGTTCTATGAAGGGTGGTGCTGCCAAGTGATCATCCCTGTCTGGTCATTGTGCAGTGGGCAGCAGCTCCAGCACAGGGCCTGGAACATAACGGCGATCTTTGTGGTTGCATTGAATACTACAGCTTTCACAGCAGTCCCTCAGGTATGAGATATATTCACTTACATTGGTCCAAATTGGACTAATGTAAGTATGCAATCGGGTGGACTGACAACTCATGGGGCCGCCGGGCAATAGGGGATCATGGGGCCCCTGTGTCCTTGCCCAAACTCAAAGCACACCCAAAAAAGCCTATAAAAAAGGTACCAGGGGCATTTCATGAGGCCCCCTACTGACCCCGGGCCCTCGGGCAGTGCTCGAATGGTCAGTCTGCCCCTGTATGCAATTAAGATCATGGAGTTCAGCCTCAAGGCCAAAAGAAAGACAGACTCCCTTACATTGGTGGCTAGTACAGAAATGCTTCCTTGCATTTGTGTTCAATAAAGAGTCCCCCTCATATTGGCTATTACTGTGAGAGATGTTTGCGCTTACTTTGGTGGTCAATGAGTAAAAGGCACAAAGAACCACTCTGACACGCTCTGTCTTCTATATTCTGTATTCTCTCATCTCTCAACTGGAGGCAGGTTATTGTATCTTTTGTTCCTAACCACGTGGGAAGAGGGTCTCAACCTCACATTCTCTTCACAGCAAAGACATACTGTAGGTTCCTCCACCTCACCCCACAATCTATCTGCACACAGGAAACCAATTTCAAGATTCTTAAGAAATGGTATAAAACACCCACAAAACTCCAACCCCACAAACGTATGCTGGAGATACACAGAGGTCACAAGTCCAACTACACATTTTTTAGTCTTGACCACAAATACAACCATTTCGGACAGAAGTAAAATTGATAACCCAGCAATTTACAGACTTTAATGTTCTTGACTGCCTTGCATTTTCCCTCCTGCATCACTCCTCTATTCCTTTCAAGACGTATAAAGAATCTATACTTCACCATTTTTTAGAATGCAGCCAGAGCCTGCATCCCACTGAAATGCAAGGACTCTAATCTTCCTTCCAATGCACTCTGGTTTCGTAAAGTAGAAGACATGGATGGTATGGAAGTCTAGTCTTTTGTGCTCAAAAGGAATTTGAAACATAATAAATCCAGTGGAACCAGGTCTTTTTATATCTTCTCAGAAGAAGAGAAGGCTAAATTTTCCAAGAACCACCTCCCCCCAGCTGCAAACTCTTTACCTATTTAGATTGTCCTTACCCAAGGGAGCAGAATGCCATTCTTCCAGATAGCCAAAGAGATAATTGGTGTGAAACTGCTGGCATTAGCCAATGATGCTGGCCATGAAACATTGTAGGAATCATGATGTTGAAGGTCAACCTGCCACTACTCAAGGAACTTCTAGGAACCCTGGTTGAGAATGCCTTGGTTGGTGTGGAGGAACTTGAGTACTTCTTACCTTAACCCTATAGAACATCATTGGTTGAGTTGGTCTTCTCCAACATCAGCTGACCTCACAAATAGCTGAACAGACAAAAGCTCCCACAGTTATCCAACAGGTGGTATGGTGAGGTGTCCACAAATGTTTGGCCATATAGTCATGTTTACAATAAATGTTCATAAACAGTGACACCAGGGAATTTGTGAATTTACATTTAGCTAGTAGACACAGCAATCATGTCATTTTGATTCTGTCATCTTGGCAGCTGTCAGCCACACTTGTTACATAATATACACTAACTGGCCTCTTTATTAGGTACACCTTGCTAGTACCAAGAAAATAAACCCCCCACACCATTATACCACCACCAGTCTGAACCAGTGATACAATGCAGGATGGATCCATGCTTTCATGTTGTTTACGCCAAATTCTGACCCTACCATCTGAATCTCACAGCAACCAGCCTGCCCATTCTTCTCTGACATCAACAAAGCATTTTCCTTCACACAACTGCCGTTCACTGGATATTTTCTCTTTTTTGGACCATTTTCTGTAAACTCTAGTGATGGTTGTGTGTGAAAATCCCAGTAGACCAGCAGTTTTTGAAATTCTCAGACCAGTCCATCTGGCACCAACAACCATGCCGCGTTCAAAGTCACTTAAATTCCCCTTCTTCCCCATTCTGATCCTCCGTTTGGACTTCATTAAGTAGTCATCACCACATCTTCATGCCTAAATGCATTGAGTTGCTGCCACGTGATTGGCTGATTAGCAGTTAGTGTAACCAAGCCATTGAACAGGCGTACCTAATAAAGTGGCCGGTGAGTGTAGCTTCAAGTGTTCTTATTTGCTTACCGGCTCTGAACCTAAACCTTTGAAAGTGGCACCTGGTTCCAAGCTCCACCTCTGGGCTCATTCTAGCCATGGCCACAATTTCCCAGTTTGAAAGGTTGCACAGCACACAATTACGGGACAAAAGGCCCGCTTTGTAGTCATGGATGTATCTTGCAGGCTGCTAAAACGGACTGTTTTCTACATTTGATGTTCCAGGCAACGGCAGCAGAAAACCATATCTGCTTTGTTTTGATTTGTTCTACACTGTGATCTCGCTTTGCATGTGACAGGTTGACATTAATCTGTTCTGTCCATTTAAATACGTGGCACGGCCTACGCAACGCTGACAACACATATCACAGATGCACAGCGAGTCGATGTGCCAGTTTATCTGACCTCTCTCCCTGTATGCCTTGGCGAGCTTTGAAAGAACTGGATCACATCTACCATCCCCGTTCATTTCACAGCTGCATTCACTCCCACCAGCTCCGAGGGGACGCTCATTGCCACCAGCTCTGAGGGGACGCTAATTCCCACCGGCTCCGAGGGGACGCTCATTGCCACCAGCTCCGAGGGGACGCTCAATGCCACCAGCTCCGAGGGGACGCTCATTCCGAGCTCCGAGGGGACGCTCATTCCCACCAGCACCGAGGGGACGCTCATTCCCACCAGCACCTGAGGGGACGCTCATTGCCACCAGCTCCTGAGGGGACGCTCATTGCCACCAGCTCCGAGGGGACGCTCATTCCCACCAGCTTCGAGGGGACGCTCATTGTCAGGAATGGACTCGCCAATGGTGGTGGGACTCACCTGCCTTTGTGGGCTGCAGTAC